TCGAAAACGCTATTAGATACTCCGCAGCCAATGAAATGTTCCGTACAGCATCTTTAGATAAATTCAAGACGGTCTTCAATACAAGAATCAGGGGCTCGATTCTTGAATTTATTCGAAGGAGAAACGTATGCGAAAATTCTGCTCTTACAGAAAAGTTGCAAGTTGATTGGCTATTCGCATGGCTTTAACCAATCGACTTTCAACTTTTCTGTCAGAGCAGAATATTCGTATACGTTTCTTCTTCGAATGATTTCGAGAATCGGGCCCCTGACTTTGAATACCGGCCTATATGTCGATGGTGAAAACGCACCTTAACAGTGGGGACTTGTGATAATAGTGACATTTTCAACCTGCCGAGTAACGTTGGCTGGCGTGTAGCGATCTCGGGTGTCGGTAGCGTCAGGTTGAACGGAGCACAAGTGTTTTGTAGTTGATCGTTCAAATTCTTACGATAACAATGGAGTGTATAGTAGCGAATGTGGAACACATGCGGTTTGACATTGAGATTGCTCTCGACGAGCAATATGGGGCTCTTCCGTTACCGTTTACTGGCATGGACAGTACGTTCGTTTGCGCTACATTTTCATTTCTGCCGCACGCGTTAGGTTAGGTTAGGTTAAGTTTTGCGCGGTGCAATCTGTCATATTTCGTCCGAATCTTTTTTCTTTCCCGTTGCAAATTATTTATCCAAGTTCTTTATTTTTCCTGCACTTACACTGAATGACAAGTTTTTTTAAATAGTTGATCTTTAATAATAATAATGATATCCACCGCAGCTTTGGAGTACTCAGCAATCGAAAGGGAGATTTTACGAACTAAATTTTATAAATGTGAAAATATATCATTTCCAGCAATCTCTCGATTTTACTTACTTGATAGAAACCTGACAATTTGTCAGAAAAAGGTCAACTACTCGAGATAGAGACATGGTGTTAAGCAATGTAATTATAATAGTGTTTTGTATATTATTTTCGTTCCTTGTTAAATTCTCTACGATTGTAAAAATGTAACTGGTTTTCTCTTACCTGCTTCCTTCTCTTTTCAATCACTATAGATCAGACTTGTTTGGATAATCTCTTATGTTTATTGCAAAAAGAATATAATATTAAAATGAGAAATAGATCTCTTTAATAACACAATACTCCATTCCCCCTTTAATTTACAGAATCCATTGCCGCAGTATGTCAGTTTTATCCAAGAGGCACCTGCAGCAAGGGAGCCTCGTGTCCGTTCAGGCACGTTCGTGGCGATCGCACGATTGTATGTAAACATTGGTTGAGAGGTCTTTGCAAGAAGGGCGATCAGTGCGAGTTTCTGCACGAATATGATATGACAAAAATGCCGGAATGTTACTTTTATTCTAGATTCAGTAAGTAGCCCGACATGATTACTATAGCCACTTAATCTAGCAATAATATTGTAAGAAAATTAATTATTTTCTTTCGCTGAGTTAACACGATTGTTTAAAATAACATGAAACGTCCTATATGTTTAAATTGCGCGATGCATCAAGTTGTATTAAAACGAAGTTAATTATTATAGATGCATGTCACAATAAGGAATGTCCGTTCTTACACATCGATCCCGAGACTAAAGTCAGAGACTGTCCGTGGTACGATCGGGGCTTCTGTAGACACGGCCCCTTATGTCGGCATCGGCATGTCAGACGCGTTCTGTGTATGGCTTACTTGGCTGGTTTTTGTCCGGAGGGGCCAAATTGCAAATTTATGCAGTAAGTATGCAAAAAATGCTCATCCATAGGCTTGTTCATGTTGCTTCGAAATTTTTAAAAATTCCTGTACTAAAGAGATAAATATACATGGGCGTTGAAGACAGAGAAAACGAAGATTCTATGCAACAAGTGCAAGCAACGCGAACACACATACTAAAATAGAAATACCAGCTTACTCTGCCCAGCGTTGCCCGGGCCTTTACCTTTGAACGTTGGCACACGTGAAAATATGAAAATCACACTTGATAGCATATCATTTTGTTCTGGGGCTCGTTTCTTGAACTCGTTCGAAAGAGAAACCCGTGCGAAATTCCTGCTTCCACGGAAAAGTTGAAAGTCGATTGGCTAAAAACCATGCAAATAGAGACAGATAGATTCTACTTCACATACATAGATATTTAGAATGTCAGCAATTTAATCTACGTTACTTAATCGCCATTCAATTTGTTTAGTCCAAGATTCGAATTACCAGCGGTGCAGGATATGCAACCGAAGGAGGGCAAAAAAGTTATGATTACCTGCCACTTTTGCGGAGAAGGTGGACACAAAGCGATCTATTGCAACAAGATGCCGCCCGATGTGCGGGAGGCTCAAGTCAGACAGGAGCTCGACAACAATTCTCACACGTCGCATCATCACATGAACATGCACAATGGACCTCCGCCGCCACGAGGGCCGCAGAAGCCGCTTGAAGAAGTGACGTGTTACAAGTGTGGGCAGAAAGGCCACTATGCCAACAAGTGTCCAAAGGGCCATTTAGCATTTTTGAGTCACGCGGGTAGTGGAGGTGGCGCACAGAATCAGAATTATCGGAGGTGATTTTCTTCGTTTTATTTATGTAACATGTATATTATGTGATGCTACTTTATCTCATTATTATCTATAAAAATTTCTATCATACAATAAAATAATTTATCATACCAACATATGTGTCAACTGTCGCTCTTACAATGCTTCAACGATAACTGAAAGCATTTCCATGCTTTTTGCGGACATAACAGCAACACTTAAAAAAATAATATAAAAATGAAGAAGCAGCTTGCATTTAAGCGGATTCTTTAATACTTAAGTTTTCGTTTTTTTGTTATTCAACTGCAACAAATTCAAGTATTCTAAACGATGATGTACGCTTAAATAAGTAGCTATTACAGTTTTGCAGTAACACAGTTCGGTTCATACATGTTATAAGATGCATTTAAGTTATTGCTATATCAGCATCTGATACAGGATGTTATAAAAAGATATATATATTTATATAATATGGGTTAAGTGGATAAAACCTGTATGACCTGCTGGGAAGACATACATTTTACCGGTTATGATTACCATTTCAATCGTCTCTCCTGCGGGATTTTACTAATTAACCTGTTATATTAACTGTAAACTCACTCCTTGCATAAATGCCGTAAGATTGAACAATGGCGTGGAAGGCGCAAAATGTTACGAAGACGTGCGTTTTAACTGTTACACGCTAAGCACACGGTTCCATTACAAAAGTTTTCTTTTTTTAGTTATTCAAAATCATTTTATCACGTGGTTCCATTTTACTTATACCTAGAAACGTAATAGCATTTATCAGAGGGATAAGATTACGCTGATACCGATGTCTCACATACAAGTGGTTTTATGTGAATAATTATGTAGAAAATGAAAAATGAATATCGATAAATTTCTCTGGACACGTGTCTTATCATGTTGCGTTATACTCGATAACTTCGACATAATTAGCAGGGAAAAGTCCGTATGTTCCGTCGGGTCCAAGACCTTGCCACCAGCCCTCGTCGATCGCGTCTATGTGCGTGATTATATCGCCAGGATCGAACGTGATTTCCGTGTCGTCGGCGGCTTGATAGTCGTACAAAGCTCTGGCCTTCATTCCCTCGTTATTCGGATCGAAATATAAGTACGGGCCGTCTAATTGGTTGTACAATTCATTTTCGACGGTCTGCTTGTTCTCCGCCGTCTGCACAGGCTCCGGATTCGCGGTCGTTTTCGATTCTTGATTGGTATTCTGAGACTGAGGTACCGCGGACGAGGAGACCGTCACTGTTTCCACACTCGGCTTTTTCGCCTCGGCCGGTGTTTCCTCGTGGGACTTTACGTCGGGCTGGTCCTTTATCTGCGCCTCTTCCAACGCTTTTCTCATGGACTCCACGTGATTGTTCTTGGGTAAAAATTGTTGCGCCGAGCTCGTCTTCATCTGACCGGCCGCCGAATTCTGTTCGAATATCGCTCGAGCGTTTATTGTTCTTTGAGCAATCAGCTGCTGCGTTTCCTTGCTCCTCTGCCTCCGTAGTTCATCGCTTCGTGACTTGTGATCATCTTCAGCGTCGTTACTATAATTTTGGGCAGCCTTTTGATTGCGTATATTGTTCACCTCCTCGGCACGCTGCTCGGCCAGCTTTTGACGAGCGATTGAATTTTCCTTAGCGGTTACCTGAAACAATATTTCGTCAGCAGTGCACATAATACATACAGAAATATACAGAATCGGAACATACTTGTTGTTCCCTCAATTGCGTTTCCTTCTCTTCCCGAGCTCTAATTTCGCGTTCCATCTTCTGTCGCTCCTGTTCACAGCGCATCCGCTCTTGTTCCAATCTCTTCTTCTCCTCCATCTCTTCCTTCTCCCAAAACTGATCTCTCTCCGTTGCATTTATCTCTTGTTCCGGGATTACTCTGCGAATAACACGTTAGGTAAAAATTGCACAGTAAACATTGCAACGATACACCTCGAGATGTAACAATCGCAAGACAGAAACCTGCGATATGTTGTTCCAACAGGACCAGTGTGTCCCTCATTCTCGCTGCGCGGCTCATTAAACTTATATGCGGAGGCTGTTGCTCGCGCGAGCTTTTCCATAATCACGTCTACCTCAACATCATCTTCGGAGCGCGCGGTGATCGTTATATGTGCTCCTTTCAACAATTTTTCTACATCCCTAATGTGATTGGCGCACGTTCCTTTCCTAACGATTGGAGCGCCTTCTCCTTGCTGTAAGCAAATATCTCATTAGGCAAAAGTTTAATTTATCATGAAATGTATAAAAGCTGTGTTCACTCTACGAAAATATCAGGTATTTCGTCGTATCCCATGTATCGATCCTCTTCTCGCTTACCCAGTTAATAAGCAGACACTTTGGTAGACTTGTTTTAGTATCGATAACTCTACAAAATGCGTACATGATGTGACTACTACTTAATCGATCGATCATCTCCTCCAATCCGCCGTCTCCAGTTCCGACGACTCTTAGATCATTAGTCTGCCCTTCGTAGCCGAACACAGCCCTGCCAAGAAAGGAGAAGTATTAAAACTCGAAGTACAGTTAACTGAAATGAAAGCTGCGCAAAAGATTCACGCATCGCACAGGATCTCTGGGTCAAAAACATTATCAAGTCTCGCGCCGACAAATCGTGGCTATACAAAATCATCTGTCAATGACACACAGCTACGCCTGCACGGCAAACGTTCACGCAATCTCACACTGACCTATTTATCATTTTCCGCTTTGTTAAAGGGAACTTTAAACGTATTCGGTACCCGCGATCTTATCCGAATAAGGGGTGACTTAGCAGCTTACTACATACTTTTCCACTCGTTAACAATTGTCTGCGGGGGCGAGTAAGAAAGCAACATTTCAGGAGCGAGTAAAAGTGAAGGTAGGCAGACCCGACGAGAACGAGGACGCCTGTCGTTTGCGCGAGAGTTCGCGGATCGCGCGTACGCTACGGACTCGGACACCGGTTAACTTGACGAGACCGTACCGTATACGCGCGAGCGTGCCGGAGACCGGACTCGGTGCCGTCGACGCCGGGACTTGGGAAAACGCGATCGGGGGGGGACTTAGGTGTACGCCTACCAGTTAGTAGACAATTTATCGTCGACCACGCTGTGCCAAGCGGCCGCCAGGGCGTCTTTGTTTTTCGCCAGATTAATTGACATGTCTCTCGCTAAATCATCAAGTTCATAACAGGTTCCGGGGCGGATTCAGGCGGAATTCGATAACGGGAGGGACCGCACGGATCGTGCAGGCGGAGTAGACGGCGAACCCCCACGGTCCGCCTCGGCACGGCGCCTCGAACGCTCCCTAGGCGGATTGACAAACTGATATTCGAATGTTGGAAGACGTCATAAATTAAGGGCCGCGTCCACGATGCCAGAACTTGATCCAAGACCTGGAACCTTCAGGAAAAAGTTCGGCTGGCTCTCCTTTAATTAGTCCTTTTTCGTTATTTAGATTTGTATTAAGATTATTTATTTATAGATCGGCTTTAACGTTACTTCTTTAATAAACTTTCAAGTAAGACCCGTATCTAAACTAAACAATATATGAGAACACGCCAATGTGGGTCACAAAGCGTGATGTAGGTAGTCCAACTTGCAAATCTTATCTTTCTGAAAATCGTGAATCTATCCTACCGTTTCTCTCCGCATTAGTTCTACTCGCCGATTTTCTTTTTCGGACATAACGCAGTTTGTCTTACACGTGGAATTATTATTGTCAGCAGATTTTTGAATTGATAATTATTTTTCAAATGCAATTCGCATTTTTCTGATGCTACATTTAGCATTCAATACCCTCCCCCCTTTTTCCCGTCCTGTAAATTAATTTTATTGCGAAAAATATTACCCCAGCCAGGATTCGGACCTGGGACCTCCTTCAATCTGTGACGGGCGTCTTAGCCAGCTCGACAACTGGGGCTTGGGGGTGTAAATTTTCAATCATCCTTTCACACAAAACCAAAGCATATACATATAGAATAATAGCAGAGATTGAAACTTATAAAATACATTTGCTGACACACCTGGCCGGAAATAAAGATGCTTTTAAATAACTACTACATGCAATCGTTTGTATTCCGTAGGAAGACGTTTGAAGTGCAATTGATAAGGTTTGCGAGTCATTCATTTATTTGTAATTAATAAATTATTTGTCGGTCTGGCATATTTAGTCGGAATAGATAAATTAAACAAATTTTTTAATAGGAAATCATTTGTATTTTGTTTATGGGAAGGTTTATGAGTAATTCAGATGGTTTAATTTAATATTTATTAACCCAGAAGTTAATCGGAATTTAGTTAAACCTGGTTTTATAGTCAGATCGTATATTCAAGACCGTCCTGAATTTATCTAAAAATTCTGTATGGAATATTTCATTGGCTACGGAGGATCTAAAGATGATCTTAAATCTTGAATATGTAACATCAGACCATGAATAACTAGTCTTCCTTTATAAGATCAGTGAGTCTTATAAAGAATGTATTTCTAGAAGCACATTGAGAACGTGTTATAATACATTACATATTTTTCTAAATTTTTATTTCCACTAATATCATAGCAATATTTTTACGTTTACATAAATACTGTATTAAGTATGCAACTGAAAGTAACAAAAATATTTTCTTTATCAGAAGAAAGACTTATGTTTTTCTTAGTTTGTTTTATTAACCGCCAAAAAATCATCATTTTTCAGCTTATTTACAACAGGTTCTTCTAATTGACGTTCCGCGACTACAATGTCATTCTTTATCTCCACGATGAGTTCGTCTGCAAGAAAGTAACATATAAAATGTCCTCTAGTAATAGTAATCTTAAAGTAATAGATATTTGAAATATTTTGTAAGAGTAGTTGCACATATGTTACGTCATTATATATATATTATGATAATAATTATTACCTAAAGAAGAGAAATCTTTTTCTGGTCTTATGTATCCGCTAATAATGACCTTGAGCTCCTCGCCGTAGAAATCGTCCTCGAATTCATGTAGCAGGTGAACCTCCTGCAAAATAATTATAATTTCTATTTTGTTGCTTAATACGGTATACTCGCTCAACACCTAGGGTCGGTATTCATGGTCGAATCTTATATTCAAGACCGTAGATACTCCATAGCCAATGAAATGTTCCATACAGCATCTTTAGATAAATTCGCGAGGGTCTTGAATATAAGATCTGACTATGAATACCGGCCTAGTTTTCTAGAGCCAATTAATCAAGTACTTTATAACTTCAAATTAGGATAATTGAGCTAGATTAAATTAACAGAGAATTCAATCTCTTATTCTTGAGATTATGTTTTGTACTTACCATAGATTTTGTCTTATTCTTATAATACGGGTTCCATCCTATGCTTGCGACCATTTTATATACCTCTCCATGCAAGGACGCCCAACCGTAATAAATTCCAGTGCTTAGATCCTTCGGCAAAGCGTCGACCACGGTTTGTGGGAGATTAGCTGATATTTGCGAAAGAAAGAGAGACATGTGTAAATCTTCTGCAAAATTGTTTTTAGATCTATAACATTCTATGCCACATTGATCCCAAATACAGATTTTAACTGTAACGAATATCGAAGCGAAGAAGCTGCAATGAAATCGCGGTCAAATGTGGCATCGTAACAGAGTAATTTTGCATTTTCGATCTTTAAATGTAAGGATTAGTTGTATACACAAAGATAAATAATTAGAAAATAGCGACGAGAAAGTAACGAAAGAAAGTTTAACATTCCACAATTTAATGCCACGTTTGGAAAGTTTTCATCACGTTCTTCCGCGTCTCGAACGAGATGGGTGTAAACTTTTATTGTATCTTGCGTCGATTTCAATCAAACTCGGATTCGTGTTGGAAGGATTTTTCGCGGTTAATCGCCGCTCAAGTTAATCGGATTCGCCTTTCGATCGCACTCGCCGTTAGGACTTTAGGATTCCTAATAAATTTAAAACAATCTAAAAGCTCTCCAACAATTTCCCTAATATCCCAACACAGTGAACCTGCAATTTGTGTTCACGATCTTTTATAATTTTGAAACTTTTCGAATTATTTCCCGTAACGCCTCCGTCCAAAGGGAATTGTCTAAATAAACTCATTTTCTCGCACGAACAAAAGAGATGTCGTATCAACATGATCAGCGTAATTGAAATAAAATCGTTGAAACAACATCAGTATTAATGAATGAAAAGCATCAGCCAGTTGTCTTAATAATCTGGATATTTAGTTCAATGCTTAAAATTAAAATTCATAGCAAATACAATTGAGTGATTACATTATTATATGTTTAATTATTATATGTAACAATTATATGTTTGTGGCAGCCCGCGACGTTAACGTTTAATTCAGGCAACTTCATATTTTTCCGTGCGCATATTTCGATTCGACTCGCAGCTTTCCTCGCAAGAAAATGAAGCAAAATGCTATCGCAATTGCGTCAATCGCTATCTCCCCTGTTATGAGATAGGCTTCTATAGTACGAGATAGCGGTTTTTCAACAGCCAAATACATTCACAATCTCTTTTCGCGTCGATTACACAATCCACCAGTGACTTTTCCGCCGAACGGACGACATTAATTTTGCGGAAACTCCGCTGTCTCATATTGGGTGCCTGTCTCGCAATAGGGAACTCTCCTCTGTAAAATGCGTCGCGCTATTGCTAGCTGCGTGCGGCATCACAAATCCGAGGAGTGCCCTTCCTCCCTTTCTACCTCATCCTCCACTTTCCCCTCACTCGAATGCAAAGGAGCGCCCCGACGCCACGGATTTGCAATGCCGAACGCATTGCTATTGTTTTATTTAACGAAGCTTCCGCCCTCCTCGAGAAGCGAAACTTCCCCCCCCCCTCTCACCGGGTAGAACATAGAACTCGGTGACATCGCTTATCATAATTATTCATGATACTTATGTAACGATGCCATTGCGAGTTTCGATGTCCCACCTGCGCCTCGAGCTTCAAACGCATTTTCAGTTCTCGCCCGTCGCTCGTGGCGAACGCGCTTCAACTCGGTACCTACACGTAGACGCGACATCGTTCGCCAGAGTCCCGTTTCAGCGAGACCCGTGCGGGAGGACGGGGTTTCTCTATTTCTATTTCATTCTCCCAGAAAGTACGTCGCGCCCCGCGCGCGACAGCACCCCCGGGGTCTCGGCGGGGGCGCGAAAAGGGGCGGAGAGAGCACGCGAAGTGCGGGAAGCGCATTTGAAAGCTGCTCGAGACCGCCGACAGCTGTTAAACGAGAGAAACAAAAAAAAAGAATCCTAACCTCCGAGCGAGGCGCGTCTCGAGCGGTGCCGCGCGAGTGCCGCGGGTTTCAATCGCGATTTGAACGGGGAAAGGATTTAAATTAAAAAAAAAGAAACCATGGTTGTAAGGACACCGCTCCGTCGCTTTTCAAAACGACGGAAGGGAACGGTCCCGTCGATATCGGACGCGTCACACTTGACACACTCCGCCGTTAGAGCCGAAGGGGGTTAGAACCGCCGGCTCGACCGACGTTTCGGCCGAGGGGCGGAGGGGAGGATACCTGTCGGGATGCCGAGCGTCCTCGAGCCCCTGCCGAAGCCCTTGACGATCACCCCGGACACGAAGCACGGCAAGATATTGCTGCCCATGACTGGTCATTCCACGTGGTCACGCGCTACTTCTATTGGACGGACAAGTACAGAGTGCGATAAACGCACGACAATTAACAATGATTTAACATCGTCCTGCGCCGATAGGACATGTGTCAGCGGTCGAACCCGACATTCTGCGTATCGTCGCGCCCGACAACGTTATCAATAAATTGCGTTCTACCCTGCGGACTCCGAACGATAGACTCCTCCCCTCTCCCTGCGCGATGCCTCGTCTTTTGCAACTTGGCCTTGCGATCATTCGACTCGAGTAGCCCAAGTTAATTACAAACACGTCAATGTGACGTTAAAATAATTAATTTTACGTCATAAAATGATCGACGTCCTGATTTACTTTACAATTACTGATTTGTGACACGCTGTTTTATGATATTCGTGATGCGTACAATGATGTATTATTACAGATTACATGATCAGTCATGTATTATGCTTATCTTATATCACTTCAATTTATTTTTAACGTATAGCATTTAATTAACTTTGCTTTGTAAAGTAAGATCATTTTTACAACTTTTTGATGTCTTAATGTCACAAATAGGTGCTTTCGGCGGACAATAAACAATGATCACAAATGATGCCATCCTGATGTTTTCATGACTAATATGTTTCAGAAAATGTAAATAAGGCTCCTATACAAACCAACTTAAATTAACGAAAGTAATGTTAGAGAACGTTTAGGCAATGTGAGCCGTCACCCGTTGAAAACGGTGTAAAAAATTTTTTTCAGCTACGTTGCGCAATCTCATAACGTCGGATTTTATGTTTCGGACCGAGTGTGTTTAATCGTTAATTTATTGCTGAGGAGGGTTCGCTTTCGCAGACCGAAACGTACAATTGTATTCTGCTATTATGTGGTTTGTTAAATTAAAAATCTGTTAATACCAATGCGACATACGTAAGAAATTTTTTACACCATTTTCAACGGGTGACGGCTCACATTGCCTAAACGTTCTCTAATATTACTTTCGTTAATTTTAGTTGCTAATATGTTCTACTTTTGTAAATATTACATTGTTAAATGTTGGCCAATGCACTTTCAATATAAATCTAATATTTTATAATTATTATCGTGCAATATTTGCATTTGTTCCGTGGCCAATATTGGCTTTGCGTTGGACCGCAATATATCGGCCAATGCATTTCTAATATAAGCAACATTGGACCAATATTTAGCCAATGCACTGTGCTACTAGGTCTGTAAACGAGAGCTAAATAATAAGAATAAATGGTTTCGTTAGCACACGCGAAAGCGCATTATTTGTCTTTGATCGTTGAACTTCGATACTTCAATGCGCTAATTTAGTGAAAACAGGTCTGTTTTAAATTGAGATCTCGCCGACGCGTTAAAAGAACGCTGCAATTCTAGGCCACTTTTTAACGAATATTTTACAAAATGTTATCAGCCACTTGCTCGTTGCAAGGAAACATTCGCGTTGAAACGATTCAAGAAAAAAATGCAGCTTTCCCATAATCTTCCGCACCTACTCGTGTCTCGCAGAAACAAACTGCTGTAAACGCTGTGGACCGCCTACTCGACGTAAGAATGCATCTGCTTTTCTCGTAATCCTCTTTATTTACTATAAAACTATGTTTTTAACAAATTGCAGATACGTGTACGAAATATCATCGCTCAAATTCGGCATTCGATCGCTCGAACGACATCCAAATGGAACGGACGTAACGAAATTGCTCGTGGCCACGGAGGGAGCGCAACGGGTTCCCGTCTCGTGGATTCGCGCCATATAATGTGTCCGGTATATAATTAAGGATAGTTTAAATTAACATAAATTAATTTAAATATCACATAGAAAATCCCGTTACAACCGAGGTGCCCTCGGCGAAATTATGTCTGCGAAGGTTTTCTTTTGCGGTCTATGCGATACCGATACATCTCCTCCCTTCTCCTTTGAATTCGGACCGCGGCACGGACATTGTACGATGTTGCAACCGTGTATCCACTCGTATAGAGATCTTTCTTTTCCTTTGTTCTTTATATATAGACCCAGCAAGCACCAAAGTAACAGTTACATGACACCAGTACATAACACATGCGTGTTATATTACATTAATATTGACGTTATGTATCTGTTACTTTGGAGTTCGTTGGGGAGTTCCGTGTATACGTATTGCGCGCATCTGCCGAAAGCGATTACACACATACAACACGGTTGTAAACTCTCTAGGGGAAATATTAAAGATCTGCGTGCATAAAAGAGTTGAAAAAATGAGACAAGTCTCCCCCTCCCTCTCTCTCTCTCTCTAAATCTTTGTCGATAAATTCATAGACTTTACAGAAATCCCACGTGTCCGGAGGATGAAAGGCGGAGCAGCGAAATAACTGTCGAAAAAGAGCTCGCGTTAAATTCTCCCAGCACGACGCCCGTCGCGACGGGCGTGTCTTTGGAACTGAAAGGGAAGAATGCGTTGAAAAATAATTATATTATTTACACGATATATGCAGGTACATGAGACATGCGAACTGCGCGCGACGAGGTCTCGTCTTGCCGCGTGTCTAAGTGGATTTCAGGCGAGAACTCTTGAACGCGCTCGATCTCGCGCGTCACGGAGCTGGAGAGCATTTTCTACTTCTACTTTGCGTTCAGTCGAGTCAATCCTGCGGCTCCGATTTCCGGCGACTCGAGATCGCAGATTAGAATCGGTATAATTTCGGTGTTTACAACATCCGCTGCGCGAATAGGAAGAAAACCCATTGTCGCACTCTCGTGCCTGAATGCTACAATGTGCCTTGCGCGACTAGAAATATTCTATTTTGTATAAGCAAATCAATACGCCCTTAAAACATTTATCGACAATGTACGATGTATAATGTACAACTTGTCAATTTGCATAAATCTTTTAAACGTATTTATTGGCTACAAAATGGACTGTTTCTATACGCAAAGAGCACATTGTAGATCAGGCCTGAGACTCTCCGTGTCGGATCGAGATCGGCGCGATTACCGGCGAGTTCGAGTCTCGATTATAAAAGTGAAAGGTACGTCGATCGTCGTGTATTTATTGTTATCTTGTTTGGAGAGCCTTGTTTTTGGGTGCTCACAGCATCCACGAGGCATCTGGACCTAAATCGCGACGAAATTACACCGGTTCGAATTCCCATTTTGGATCCTTATTGAAAAACGGATGTACGATCGCGGATGAAATATTCCTACGATGCTTTACGCATAATACGTATGAAAGAACTCCCATGCAAGATTAACGTTCTTTATTACATTGAAACGATCCGGCAACTCTATATCCTTTTAATAACGGCGTTATTATTATTTATAATAGTATTATTATTACGATTATTCCTTTCCCTTTCGGTCCTCTACGATTCGATTCAAGCTTTTACAGGCGTGCACATTCACATTCGCGGAGATTATCTGATTCGATGTCATTTTCGAGTTGCTGCATGCGGCGTATAAGAATTCTCGTCCCCTCCTCCCCCCCCTCCCTCTCCTCTTTCTGTCTGACACGTGACGGTATTTGTTTTCCTAAGAAATGCATGGTTTATTTATTATCGATCTAATTTGGGAAAAACGTAGATTTCCGGATAGATTAAACGGATTCAAGGCATTTTGCCACATGTATCAGCTACTACATTATTACTATTACCCTATTTTCGTCATTATTCGTTTCGTTACTATATAAAAATAATACAATAACTAATAATTATGATATTTATACCACTAATTAATCATCAATTAGCTGAAATGGCCATTCCTCTGTTGAATAGGAATAATTAATAAGTAAATAATCTTTAAATCTATCTCCGTAGTTTTAATTTCTAATATTTAATATATAAGTGCTTATCATATCTATGTTCAACAAGGTATCCTCGACAATTATTAACGTAACAACCTGCCAGCAGCGCAAGGACTAAATTGTATTTTAACCCTTCCCCTTCTCGCATCTTCTCTTCCCTTACTCTTCTCCCTCCTATCTCTGGGCCGCAACAGTATAATCTTTCAATTAATCTCAAGATCAATGAGTTAACAACACAACATGTTATGCAAGCATTACTGAAATTCTGTAATATCGATTATATTTGGCAAAGCGACATGTAAACTCGCTGCTTAATCTTGCTGTTCGTAGTATATAGGCCCCGCGCGGAGGCACATTCTTGTTTTTTTTTTCCACAGGCATCTAGGCACAACAGATACAAAAGTAGTACACTCAGAAGTATCCAGATTTTCTCGTAGCAATCTATTATTTTTAAAATAGCACTATCATATACATCCTAAGATAACGCGCACACCGGCGTGTATTCTTCTCCCTTGTCTCCACTCATTTGTTTTCTCCTCGTACTACAACGAGCCTGTAGTGTTAAAGCAAGTACGTATATTTATATATGTATATATCATTTGCACATAAATGGAAACGCCGTCATTCGCAAGAATGTTAACACAACAAGCTCGCATAGCGCAATAGTATGGGTTACAACATCGAGAGGATACGTGTATATCTTCGATCACATTCCCGCACATAGCTCTCATCTGTATATAAAATCTCTTGTAGAATAAAACCAAATCCATTACAACCGTAGTATCCACAATTAAATCTCGTTTACGTACATTATCCATACATTATCTTATTGTTGAGACATAGCGGAGGGTAGCACCTCAGAGCGCTGATTCGGTGATGGCGATTCTAGAAGTAATGTATTTAGGGCCCTTCTCGTTTATTACATGCGCGTCTTTTATAATGATGCTATTACAGTTCTTAACCGCAATGCGTTTCTTTTTTCATAGTGAAGAAATAAATACAATGCTTTTCTATAAAGAACGAGTTTCTTCTGTAAGCTTCTACGAGTACCTATACACTCTGTCTTTGAATCGCACGATATGCGGCGGGATAATAGGATTCCTCTTTCTTCTATTTAAAAAAAAAAAGCAAATATGATGTGTGATATACATTGAGATGACAATAACGTCACTGATTTCGCACAGTGGGACTCTTAGCCAAATTATTTGTGTTCTTATCGCCGTTTTTCCTCCCAAAAAGAAAGCTAACTTCCGATGTTGCTACAGCAAAACAGAGGATACATGGGAAGGGGTTGTGGTAGAGACTAGCAATTATTGGGATCTGGCGGCGTAACAAGGTATTCATCGGCGCGTTTGTGGTCGGACAATGCCCGCATTGTGTACGAATCTTGCGGTAAATCGCTCTTCCTTCGTAAAAGCGGTTTCACTTTGTTCACGTTTGTCATTTTCTTCGCCTGTAATAACAAAACGTTTATTTGAGACATCAGAATGTTAGGCACGCTTTAACTGAGCACAGAATTGGAAAATAGCGATGCTGCGAAAAATGGATTCATACCTCATTGGCTTTAGCTTCGATTTTCTCCAAAGTGAGCGGAGTTTGATCCGTGTCACCGTCCTCGTCAGGTGGTGAACTATCTATATGTTGTAGTGATGTGTAGGATGTATTATTCGTTGTGCCTTTAATTGCGATTGCGATATTGTAGTTTGGATGCCTCATCGCGAGCGCTTCCACGCGCATCCATGCTTCATCTCGATCTTTCATGAGCTTTCGTTCTCTTTGACGCTCCTATAAAGTTTTGGATCAAAATTAACGTGATAAGAGTTACTAACGTTTTAATCTTTCTGCACGATCAAATCAACGTGCAGAATCGTGTAGTTTTGCAATCGTAATGTCGATTCGCGTTAAATTTATCCAAATATATTTGCCGTTTTCATTCAATGCTAAATACAGCCGTTTTTTTTGGGGCGATCCATTAATGCAGTACATGCGTACTAAAAATATAAATGACTGTCCGTGAATTTACCTGATAGTACTGTGTTGTACACTCGTCGAATACTTTTTGATTCATCTCCATGAAAAGTTTCAGGGCGTTGTAAATTAAACCGTGGATCGTCTTGTTCCAGTGATTGCGGGAGTTTCTGTAAAAGGCTGGATACATTATCGGTAGAATGACAGAGTAATTGTCCGATATTAAGGACATTATGTATTCATTATTCCAATAATAGAGAGCTCTTTCCGCCACCTGAAACAGAAACGAACGAGCGCAAGTTAGACGTCGTACGAAACGAAAGAAAGAAAACAATGAAATCGCGTACTTGCCTGGAAATGCGGTGATGACACGCATTTGGCTAATTGCCTGAACAATGGATCCATGACTTTCTGAAACTCAGCTGGTTCAATGACGTCTAAGATCTCTTCAAGTTCGTTCAAGAACATAACTTCTTTCGGGGAATGTGTTTTTGGCCAGAATTTCAGCAGATTTCTAATTACGGGCTCCGTCAACGACGGATCCTTCTCCAGAAATTGAACGACGCAGTACGCTAGTTGTGGATGGTACACGGACAGTGACTTAGCTTTATGCAGGGGCAACAGGACTTTTAACAAAAACACCTTGTGCTCTTCCTTTAGCGGCAGAGCAAAGCCGTTTATAATACTGCAAAGGGAACAAATATCGATCAGTCGACCGTGTTACAGATTTCATTGTGCATTACGTTCTCATTTAACTTGTATTATTACCTTCCTAAAATTTCAAGTAGTTCTGCGATGCCGTTGTGATGTTCCGTCTCATAAATAAATCGATAGAAAACATTATTGATCTGTTTCCTAATGTACGCCCTGAGTCCTAGGAATTTTCCATAAATCCTATGGAGGGTCGTCTTAAGGAAATCCCTCTCTCTCGGGTCCTCGGAGTCAAATAGCTCCAAGAGCTGCAGCACGAATTTTTGATCTATGTAACGTCTCGCTATGGACGGTTGAAAGTCCTGCGACTCCAGCAGCCGCAAAAAGAATTCGTAGACGAGCTGCAAGTGCGGCCAGGCCGCCTCCAACGTTGGCTCATCCTCCTCCGGATCAAACTCCGCGCCATTAGGATTTGACGATGGGGGTAGCGTCCGGAATAAATTCACGGCAAACTGCAAAGATTCCCTTCGTCTCAGTAACATCTTTCAACTTTATTCTCCCAAGGCACCATTTTATTTAGATTACGTTTCCGACACATATTTCATGTCTTCTATGAAAATATAAAGATAACGCGAACGCTAAGAATATTTCTTGTACTTTTACAATACTGTCAACTTTATTATACTCTTTACTATTGTTTTTTTTATTCGTCATTATACAAAATCAATTCCCTAGTATTTACACAGTCTCGTTTTCTAATCCGCGAAAAGCTTCTACTACATGTAACTCGGAAGGTTCGCCGTGCTCTCACACAGAATATGTATATCAGAATGCTGTTCTTACCATGTTCACCGCTTCGGGATATATCGCCTCGGTAATAACGTTTTTGTTTTTGGTTACGTACTCGACCATCTCGTGGAGGGCGGTGCGCTTTACCTCCTTCCATTTCAAATCCGACAACGGATCGGACTCGAAGTCGAACAGGACGCAGCATTGCCGTAGCTTCTGTATAAAAAGTTCCTCCCGCTCGTTTCCCTGTTGTGTTTCTGGAATCAGATAGCCGGTGATTAATCGCGCCGCACTCGGCAGCTTGTACATACCTCAAGAAGCGAGAACGGTAATAGTATTGCACCCATTAATCATATTAGCCTACAGGGGTATCGATGCACGCCAATACGAGAGGGTACATTCGAATGTACATCCTTTTTGCGCCACTCATTTCTTTTTCTTCGCTTGAATTATTTTGCTACAAATAGCTTTCCCACCTGTCTACCTGGCCCTCCTGACATTAGATGAGAAATGACTCTCGAGCCAGGTTAAATCTTTAAAATAATTTACGTTTCATATATCACCGTCAAGATATTATTGATTACAGAGTTCTTTACTGATGTCTGGATAGACATGTGATTTTAATCTCGTTATAAAGACACGTCGCTCCGTACATAAACGTACGGAATATTAACATTTACTCGATTTTGAAACGATTTTGTAAGCATCGGTAAAGGGACCGGAGTGAATTTAATAAAGGACGTCTGATAAGAGTAAGAGAGCGTCCAGAATGTAATTTGCCGTCGATAAAAATGCAGCGCGCAATCAAAATCATTGCTCCGTTCGCCTCTTTGAACACTCTGATTTGCATAGACAGTTATTTCAGGTTTTAATCGACTTCAACTTCTTAATACTCGGCGCAAAAAGCGTGCCGTCACAGGACTGTCGTTAGTTAATATTTATACAAGCTACAATGGTATGCCAACAGCAGACTTTTGATTTTAAATCTTAAAAGCGCTCGGCTTTTTCCGATTAATCGCGAGCGAGTTCAGAAAGAAGATCGATAACGACCTTCAAAATGCCGCGACGGCAAACCGAGTGGCATTATTTATCGTTTGCTATTCCTGGCAGTCTTTGTAATAATAATAGGAGTAACGAGATCGATTGACGAATTCACCAAGAGTCCACCATTTCATGGACACCATCCTCGAACAATCAAATACTAAGATAAAGGGAGCGCTATTCGTTCTCTTTCCAACTGTTACTTTAGAACGAGGGGGAAACCGCTGACCAAAATCTTGTACACCAATGCCCACGAATGCCCAGTGGGCATTACTTTATCTTATTATCTTATTTTATCTTTATAATGCCCCGGCAAGACCTAATGCCCAACCTAATGCCCAAAAATGCCCAAAAAATGCCCAGTAATGTCGCAAATCTGTACACCACAATGCCCTCAGCGGTTTCCCCCTCGCTTTAGAAAGAGACCAATGAATTAAACTAAGATTAAAGTTAAGCGACGTTTGGTGAAACCGGGCCTTAATCGACGGGGAGCTTTACCGATTAGAAGGGGCTGCAAGGGCTGATAGTGCAGCGCGAACGTCACCGGGTAACCCTTGCTCGAATCCTGCGGCAAGACCGTCGCCAGAGCGAGACCCTGATGAAAGCTGGGACTCTTGGGCAGAGCGCCGCCCAGAGATGGGCCAATGCCACCCACGTGAACCATCGCGCGATATTGTGTTCGGTACCGATTTTACCCTCGATTTTACCCCACCTTGCTCATCAGTCTCGACTCGGGGAGCGCACGTCCCGCCGTTCGCGTATCGTCTCGGTAATTTCTTACAATTCGCAACACTTGGGATTCACACACTCGACGGGACCGGATCCGCTCTTGATGTCGAGATCGCGATCGATAATGTTCCCTACCTCCGCGATTCCGCCCTTTTCAACACGAGGCTGGCTTGAAATTTTATTTACAGCACACCGATAATTTATTTGAATTTAATTTTCATTATTCGCACATCTCTTAACCGTGCGATTGCACCAAGTCTTTTATCCGAGAAATGAAAATAAAGATTTCACGCAATGCCTGCTGATATATGTATGATAATTTACACAAACATGTTCAGGCAGGGTCTACATACGATAATAATTTCCCTCAATTTCAGCAGCAAGTGCGTCTGCCGCAGATGAAAATGCCGGTAAAATATAAGCATGTACAACTTTTCTTTTCGAAATTATCCAATTTGCATAAGTAACGCGTATGCATTTGAAAAATATAATAAAGAGAAAACCAAACGTGCAAAATTATTTTGTACAATCGTCGCGGATTCTTAAGTTCTAATCAAGTGAGTTTAAGCTCATTCGTTCAGTTCTGTCAATTTATACGTCCCCGGATTTGCGGATTTAAACCGACTCGGACGGAAACCAATTTCCGGAGAATGTTTTTATTACATAACTCGCAATCATCCGCCAATTTACCCGGCGAAATGCGACGTATAACTTTATTAAGCCACGGCGATTGTCGGCCTTCGACAAGTCACTTTTACCGGCTTCCCACGTTATTTTCCGCATAGCTCGCGCGAAGGAAACGCGCGTGGTTTTACGCGTTTTGCCAAACCATGCAGAAACGTAACTGTACTTTGATGCAGAGCAACGCAAATCGTCTGTTATGTTGCACCGTTGCGAGAATGTTTTCACACGAAGCGATAGTTTAGCGCAAATATAACATTAAATTATTGTATACATAGATTTTATAAATGCGCAAATTAATATGACTAAACTAACACTAACACGAAGCCATACCAGTCTTATAAACCAGATTTTAATATGTATTTTTTCTACATATTTAGAATTTATATAGTAAGTGTATTAATATGAAATATTTTTCGGTAGTGTTAAATACATCTAATATCAGTGATGATGCTATTCTATTATTGGTTTCTATGATATAATATGTTCTCTACAATCTTGGGGAATTATGTATAAAATTTACTAAGGCAGAGATCAAATTAAGTTTTCTAGTAAAAGGAGTTGTATCTAGATTTGAATAAATTTCTTCATATGTTATTGATTTAAAATAGTTTTCATATAATACTATTGTTTCACAATAGCCAAGCCTTATTAAAACCGAACGCATAGTTGGTGGGTTCATCTTTAAAATCTTATTTTTTACCACTGGACTTTTGTTAGTGCTTCGCATTAATTTGTGCCTCGTTAGTGTGAATTGTGCGCGGGGAATTTGTTAGAAATATTGTTTCCTATTGATATTAATAAATCCAATTACCTAACTCTCCACATAGGTATATTTAATATTATCAATATTTCCATAATATATCACAAGCGTATTCATTATCAATATTTTATTCAAGTTAACGAAGCACCAAATAATTTGTGCGACTAATCATTCAACTTATAATTGATTCTATCAGAGTTTTAGCTTATTGCTCTTTTCGCAGGGTACGCTACAATAAAACCGATTTTCTAAAATTTTATATTACATATAAAACTTCCATCACAATTCCACGAATTCGAATTAAATCCGCGATTCCGCATACAGTGTGTGAGCGGCGAATTTAAATTTTAAATAAAAGTCGACCGCTCGTGTATAAAAGCTCTTGTATTATTTTGTCACAAAATCCAAAACACGAAAAACCATTTTTCTAAATCACAAAACTCACCGATCTTGGATAAAAAATTCTCTCAAGCTTAAAATTCACCAACTTGATTTCCTCTATTGGGAAATTTTCAAGCCGCAGGACTCACCAATTTTCGACCGAAAGACTTCACTAACTTCCAATCGGAAAATTGTAACTTTTCGACTCTCGTCGATCGATTTTAGAATTTTCCCCGCCTCTTGTTCCGTTCAATATCTGCTATTCTTTTTAAACCGATTATAAATTATTCAATCACCAGGCAATCAGTTTTATCAAGTATCTTCGTTATTTTCTACCCGAGATCCACCCGAAATAATTCACTTTTTCCAGATGAACGACCCCGAAGTTGCCCGAGCTCCGAGAGTCGGTCGCGCCCGCTCTTAACCGGGTTTCCCCACGAATTCGCGGTAACAAGCCCGTCGGCAGCACGGCGGAGCCCGTCCGCCGTTAATTCCCGTCGTTGTTTAACGCTCGCAACAATCTGTTGCTTCGTCCGTGTCAATCGATCGGCCGGGGAAGGCAAGGCCTCTTCTCCGCCTTTCTCTCCTCGGGGTGTTCGCGCTGCGAAGCCACCCCCGTGAAACACTGGCGAGCACTAGCGGCGCGTCCTCGCGGGTCCCCGGAACCCGGTGACCGCGTTCGCGAGGGGCGGGAGACGGCGAGAAGAGGGGAGCAGGCTGGCGGGTGAGATTCGCCTAAGTGGCACCAGGTTCAACGAACTCGAGGGTCCTCGCCGGGATCTCGCGGGTCATTTCTCGATCGGTCACGGGGTCGATACAACCCCCCTCGTCGAGATTCCGTGCAGGTGGAGCCGCGACCAGGTGGGGCTCTCGCGCGGGGGTGCCGCGCGGGTGTTCGGGCGCTGGTCTCGGAGCGGTTGGAGGAGAAGGATCGGAAAGGGACGGCCGAAACGGAGGCGGGGGTGGAAAAGCGAGAGGGTGGCGGTACCCGGCTGTTTACGTTGGGGAAACGGGGAATCATGATTCCGGGGCGCCTGCGCGACCCTCGTCGCGCGCAATCGATAGACTCTGACGTAGGAGGTAGTCTCGCAACCTCGATTGACCGGCATTACATTGGGAAAGGGCAGGCGGGCCAATTTGTCGCCGCCCTTCTCTCCTCTCCTCTCCTCACCGCTCTTCTTTGCTATCTTTTCCGCGTCTTATCCTCCAACTTTCCGCTGTCCGTTTTCTCGCGTTACACGTCTGCGCATTCGATCTTTGTCCCGATCCAATTGTTCGATTACGACCGCCGTGTTATGCGTGAACTAGTTTCTTGTATAATGATTTCTTTACGTTACTTGTTGATCAAGCCGATTCCACATTGCAAGCTGTATTCCCAACAATCGCTAAACGCATGACGTACGTAAACACGTTCGAGATACGACACACTGTCTTTTTATTTTTGTTACGGCGCAAACCACCAATGACACGAGCGTGAGAAACGTAAAAGATCGCCAGGATCACTTTTAGTTGATCTAACGAGAATGGTAGGCTATCAAGTGGGATTTATCTTACTTTCGTACTGCGAAAAGAATCCCATTCATCTCAAGGACACGTTACCAAGTTTAGGATTGACGCACACATATTTAATGATATACGTTTCCGATCGAATGACTCACCGGACAACAGCGGCAATTTCTGCAGTTCCCGATTTTTCGATATGTTGAATCTCGAGCTGCTTTGCCGTTTATCCTTTTTGATTACGGGTCCACCGGGTTGGTACTTGATTTTGTTGATAAGTGTAGGCGGAGGCGGTGCATTGCCCGCAGGAGGTCCTCCGGTCACCTTGTTTGCCTGTGGTAGTTCAAAGATATTAAAACATGACGTAAAACTTGCAGATGAGTGAATGAGCAAACGGTAATTACGATAAATGTCAGGTAAAAAACTTATTATTCCGATTACAAATCGGAGCATTTTGAAGCCAATGGCACATATGTGACTAAAATATTTATTTCAAACCTTTTTGTAATTTTTGCAGACCCGCTTTTGTGTAATACTCTTTGTAAATGTAATAAACTTTTAATATATAAATAATGTCCCGTCCTTTTTTTAATGGAGAATCAAGAAATCGCGATAAGGGTCGGTGATTATTTTCATCTAATTATTTATCCTCGTATTAATTCGACTCGGCTGTAGATGAAATATCGCTCACTCGCTTGCCGATTAGATTAATACTAAACAAATGGAACGCGAGGAAGCGATCTGAACTTTCCACGATGTATGGCACGATGTGCGATCTATGCACTTTACGCGTGCAAAAACTGAGTGATCTCTTTATCAGGATTGGAAAATGGAATGCCCACAAGTTCACGCTCATATGTTCTATATGGTGCTTTGTTGACCAATAAAATAACGTTTTTAAAAAATAAATATTGAAACACAAATAATTTCTCAGATATAACAAATTAAAAGAGATCAATTTTTCACAATTAACTTTCCAGGTCCACATAAATGCGCAATCTTAAATTAGCTTTAAAATAATAAAGTGTTTTCAATTGGTGAGATTTAATATCGGACACTAGAACGAAGAACAGGAAATAAAAGAATGCTCGCTGAAGCATTTCTTACTTCTTTACTGCAAATTTAAACAAGACTTCATTTATATCAACAGTCTAAAAATAGAAAGCTATTTATTAGAATTTTCTAGATATTGAGAAACAAATATGAGAAAATTGATCTATTAACCTCGCGTAAAAGATACTTCAACGAGAAGTCTAGTTAAACATTAAGAAAGAACGACCCTAAATAACCTCACTACATAAAGCATACATGCATGCGTGTATTGCATACGTGACTGTTAATCACTTTACTTACTGCGCGATAGACGCGGCCGCGAGACATTGCGAGAAAAACACGTAAACGAACAGTCGTTTCTTTTAATCGTCTTCGATCACGGTTCTAAAGTGGGTTATTCGAATGAGGAAAGTTGTGGACACAAATGCTTTGGTTTATCTTGCGGTTAAGTCGGTCGAACAAATGAACCGCATTGGTGTCCCATAATGAATCGTGAATCCAATCAGGTCCCCTCCTTCTCGCTTTATTATACAAACCGACCAACTAGTTACGCGAGAGCTTTCATCATTCACTTTCTCGATCGTTCCGCTTTCGGAGTTTCGTATGCCTAACGTCTGATTAGCAATTACCGGCTTTTTCAACGGTATTTTATATCGGCCGTATCGAGTAATCGAGAAGCCCAGACGGGCGAGTTCTTTAACGTAAATTTGAACGAAAGTTAATTTGATTTAACAAAATTGGCATAAAGAACTACGGCCTGTAAAAAGTTTCAGGGATTAAAAAACGTAAATCGGAAAATTGGCCGGCAATTAGGTCTTATGTAAAAATATTCTTCAACGAGAGAGTTTACTTCGGGGCACGCGTCGAAATATCTAACGCTGAGTGCGCGATAAAACATTGCGTAATCAATAACGCATCTGCGCAGTATGGTGACAGGTAATACACATACGCAAGTGAAACGCATTCTAAAGAGGTGTAGCAAAACGGAATGTGTGTCCGCAGATTGCGGATAAAAATAGATGTAAAACACGATCTGATGAACTATTACGAAGCCGCCGTCACTCGTCGTCGCGCGCCGGTCTGAGCTTTGCGTGTCGCTGGTCGCTGTATCTTCAGAAGAATATGCGCATGCGATCACGTACGCTTGATAAACAAACGTTGACGGTCCTGCACATCGTCTCCCAGCGAGACCCGCTATTTACTATCGTTCCGAGGGAGCTTAAAAGATCCGTAAAACGCGACATAAACGTGCGATAGTGCGGAAGTTGTTCCGCCGCGATTGTCTCGCGCGACCAAGCGATTTGACAAACTCGAAGGACGCTCGAGATTAAAAACTTACTATCCGAAGTACGTTGCAAAACTGTTTATCTAAATAAATATATTGTTTTAGAAGACCGCCGTATATTGCAAGTTAGAAATATAACCCCACTAACGAGCCGCACATGCGTAATATAAGAATTTTTATAACAATACACCGAAAAAAAATTTTCGCTACCGTAGCTAATCACGATTTGCCAAAAATATTTTGCCACAACTGTCAATTTCTAAAGCACAGCAAACGGTCTGCTGTCGCATCTAATACAATAGGCACAGTAGCAAAATATTAGCTATACATTACTAAATTACATTACTAAATATTAGCCGAGGGGGAAACCGCTGAGGGCACTGTGGTGTACAGATTTGCGGCATTACTGGGCATTGCTAGGCATTACTAAGCGTTTTTGGGGCATTAGGCCTTGCTGGTGCATTATAAAGATAAAATAAGAAAAAATTAGATAAAGCAAGATAAATAAGATAAAGCAAGATAAATAAGATAAAATAAGATAACAAGATAAAGTAATGCCCACTGGGGATTAGTGGGCATTGGTGTACGAAATTTTCGTCAGCGGTTTTCCCCTCAATATTAGCCGAGGGAGAAACCCACTACTGCCCAGTGGGCATTACTTTATCTTATTACCTTATTTTATCTTATTTTATCTTTATAATGCCCCAGCATGGCCTAATGCCCAAACTAATGCCCAAAAAATGTCTAGTAATGCCCAGTAATGCCGCAAATTTGTACACCACAATGCCCTCAGCGGTTTCCCCCCTCGATATATTAGCTGAAAGAAATAGTCACGCTCGTGTTTCAGCAATGACAAAAATTTCACGTTCACGGCCAATGTATTACACGAGCAAGAATGAGATGCAAAAATGTTACAGGATTAACAGCAGTGCATTCGACTAATAGTCTTGATTACGACTGGAATTATAATTGTACGCGTTTCAACACTATACCGTGTCTTCTTCAGCATGTAAAACTTAAATATAGGTCGAATGGTAACACGTCATATACAAAATTTACATATTAAAAAACCGTAAAATAATATAATTATTTATAAAGGGTGATATTATTGTGTCAAGTTCAAGATTATCCTGAGTGGCTAAGGTCATACACTTTTTTCTCTTCAATTTCGTTCCAAATGAGATGCAGGTCTATATAATAGCGACTAATATATTTAAAGTACCATAAAGACTATTGTATGTGGATAGTGAACTTACTGAATAAAGCAGGATTATACCACACACTGTCGGGTGTTGTCAAGCGATTAATCGTGAGCTTTAAATATTAGCCGTTCATATTTTACAACTGAAATTTAGTTACCAGCTACAGCAGCTGCATTTTTTTTCGTGCAATTTTAAAAATAGAGTGACAAACCGTTGTATTTTTGCAGCCTGCATTGCATTTTGAAGTAAATTCATTTTCGTTAACTGATCAGTCTTGTAGCGAATAATGGCTTATAACGAGTGTTTTTACGCGACGAAAGGTCGGTCAGCGTCGAGGTTCACGGCCGAAGATCACCACAACTATCGCGGCTCTTGTTCTAACAAGAATTTCCACCTGAGGGACCAAGGGACGCGTAAAATGCATTGCATTTCTTTCATCTTCCTAATGGTATTTCTCATTTTCATTAGAAGCCATTCATTATTTTGAATGAATGTTGTGCCGGCAATGATAAAAAGAGAGCGATTACGCGTGAAGTACCGTTTGATATACAGTTGCCCCGTTTTTAACGAAATGGTTCAAGTTCTAATTCGCCGACGTCTATTGTTTCGTCTCGTTAAGCTGCCGTTAGATTCGCCCTCCTTTAAAAGTATTAATTTTTTAAATGGAACACGTAAACGTATGTGCGTGGATAATGCTGCATATTCGTATTCACACAGCTGTAATTCGCGAGATTAAAAACCCTAATTTATCTGTCGGGGATTCACGTAATCATTGTTAAAAACACTAATTGTAATTTGCGTATCAATTTTCCCTAAAACACTTTTAATATATCTTCAAATATTAAAACGTGTGTGAAATGCATGCGAAATGTGTGTAAATAATAAAGTAACAAAGTTATGTAAAATATATGCTGAAATAGTATTAGTTAAAAATTGAAAATTGTCGTTACAGTAAAATCAACGTTTATAAACGTTGATTAAATAATCATAACGTTGATTATATAATCATAAGGGCTATCGCACACACAATTGCATAGCTGCACATGCATAGCATAAGAACCGGCTAAACCAATGAGCATCGAGCATTGAGTCGCCATATTGAATTACATAACGTGCTCATTGGTCTAGACGGTCTTATGCATGTGCAGCTATGCAATTTTGTGTGCGATAGCCCTAAGGCCCGGTTTCACCAGCGCCTTAACTTTAAGCTTAGCTTAATTCGTTCTTTGTGTCTTTTTAAAGTAACAGTTGGAAAGAGGCAAAGAACGAATTAAACTAAGTTTAAAGTTAAGCGACGTTGGCGAAACCGGGCCTAAGCAGAGTTTAATAGTTCAATTTCGCATTGCACACAGTTTTCTTAATTTGTCAATGTCCAAACGAAGGTTATAAGAGTTCAAAAGTCATTGATCTTCGTGCCAAAAGGCTGGCTCACCGACGCAATGATCTTTGATATTTTCCAACTTGAATGACGTTAAATGCATTATGAGATACTTTTACATGTCGTTTATAATTGAGTCGATACTCAGTATCGCTGCAAAATTAATGCGCATTCGACACCGGCCGCGCGCAGTTATCTATGAACGCCTTATTCCGCGCAATCGAAACTACCATGTGCTGCAAAGTTGTCCTATCTTTAGTTATCGTATCGGTCACATCTGATAAATATACGCTGATAAAACAGAAAAGATCTTGCTTTCCGATCGTCGCGCGTTAAGCTGCAAGCAAAGTGCAAAGTAAAAGAATTATCTTATAGCAAAAAAAAAAATTGAAGATAGCACTTGGTACTCCGTAATACTCAACGTATTAAGGTAGGAAGTTTGTGCAATTATTGAATAAAGTCGCAGATAAAGAAAGAGTCACAGCTTCCGACGTTGCGCTTGCTCGTCGAATATTTGCTAAATAAATGATAAAATGAATACACGAATCACCACGTTTGATCTAATCCGAGAAGAAAGTGATAGGCAACCGCTCTGTGTATGATTAATATTTTGCGTAAATAATTATTTATTCCTATGAGACGTGTATCATATCGCAAGATAAAAGTGTAGAATCTATCTACATGAATCGCAAGTCGATTATAGTTGAACCGACAACGCGAAGATACCCAGGAAGTGTGTCAAGTTCTACAAATTTGATATCTTCCAGACTCGGCCTTCGGGGTTTCCACTTAAAAATCATACACGCGACAAATTCGTGTAACGATGCCGCGCTAAAATTGATCGAACACGTGACGAGAGACACTTGATGAACGCATCGTCCTGGAAACCTGCCTTTTTCCTGAACACGTTCCCGAAGGCGAGCCCGCTGAACGTCTGCATTTTGCTCTGCATACCAGCGTGCGAGTTCCGGAACGGCGATCGGCCCAGGAAGGAAATTCACTATCGGCACAGGGCGGCAGCAGCCGGCCGCGGGGAAAACGGTCTCGCGGCGTCAAGGCGCAACATGATTCTCGCATTCGCGGGAATCCCCCTGCCCCCCTTCCTCACGGGACGTAGAGGATCTCAATCACACGGCCGTCGAGCAGCCGATCCACTTCACGTACTACCGGGAATATCCGCTTTCTTCCCGCCGGCACCTGAGAGTGCATCCCCGAATGCATGCCTGAGAATATTCCGCGAAATAACTCGAGGAACGTGCCGGGAATTTCTTTTTTTTTCCGCTCGGGTCTAAAGTGTCAAGCCGATTTTCCCATCGTGAGGATGCATCAGCGTGAGATCTCGCGGAAAGATTTTCTCTTACAAAAAAAAGGAGAAAAAACCGAGGAAGCTAAGACGCATTAGATTACACGCTCGTAAGACGCGACGTCGACTTTCAAGCTCCGATAGGGTAAGCTGACCAAATTCGGATCAGATACCAAATGCGGATCACAAATTTGATTAGTCGCTAATAAGCGACATTTTTCAAGTAATTCACTTAAATTGCGCTCTTTTACATATCCACAAATATATGCTATATTGTCGATATCATAAAAATCGACGTGTTTAGTTCTCTGCTCGACTACGAAAAATAAAGCGCATAAATGACTGTAAATGCGCGGCGGCTCTGTCGAAAACGTCTTTTGAAGGCGATTAGGTAGCAATTTTATTTATCGCTTTCGATTGATTGCAAGTATCTCTGTGAAATTTTGTAGAATGCCGTAAAAGAATATAAACTTTTAAATTTTTTATTCTTATGTTTTACGCAGAGAGAGAGACGCGAATAGTGCTGAACATTACTGATCCGAATTTGGTCCTCGGGAACTAATACGGATCAAATTAGAGGTCTGATTAAATTTGTCGTCAGCTTTTCAGGATGAACTGATGAAATTATCTCTTTGGAATTTTATAGAGGGCGCGATTAACAACGTTTTGAAGTAGAACACATTTCACTGAAAGCAATTTCGCTGTTGCCAATGGAGAGAAGGGTTTTAAAACCTGATCCGAATTCGGTCACCTTAGGGTACTATTACATTTGTCGTACACATTTTTTTATGCGCGTTGACTGGCCACAGGCTAGAAAATTTCTGGATACCCGACAGCTTTTCTATCCTGCGGCCAATCAACGCGCTTGAAAAATTTGTCGTACGACAAATGTAATGCCAGCCTTAAGTTAGCGCCACACTATGCGCAATTCGCAGTTTATCATTCGTAATTTGTTATTCGTCGTTTCGTTCGTGCTAACTTGGACAACTTTGAACCTTTACAGGATGGAACAGTATGTGGAAAATCAGGGTGGACATTTCACGGACATTATTTTTCAAAAGTGAACCATGTCAACTGAAACCCCATGCAATTGTGTATCTTTCAACGTGACTGGAATGTATCTTTGACCAAGCACACGGTGTTCAGATTATTCCAAAAGTCCGTCAGGTGTTTATGCCCCACCCTGTACGAATCACGAATCGCGCATAGGGTGGCGCTAGCTTTACCCTATCCTCGCTTGATCTAGGTAGAGACCCTGTAATCAGAGACTGGCCATAAGATTTCGTCAAATTCCCGCGAGTGAGAGAGAAACATAGGCTATCTCACTCTTCTACGATCGTAGAATCGAGGTTTCTTCTACGATTCTACGATCGTAGAAGAGTGAGATAGCCTATGTTTCTCTCACTCGCGGGAATTCGACGAACTCTTATGGCCAGTCTCTGATCACAGGGTCTTTAGATCTGGGACATTCGTAGCGCCACGGTACTGTCGTAAAATTGCAAGTTCGGCGATCGACGAGCTGGACTATTTCAGCGATTAACAGGTGCACGTGTCGCGCGCGATCTATTTGCACAACAACGATAGGCTCCCCCCCACCCCAGCGGCGCCCAATTTACGCGGACGCGCGTATAAAAATAAGCCGGCGGAACGAAGTATCTCCGGGCGCGAGAAGTAGGCCTCCCCCTTATCCAAGATTAGGAAAAGGCCGGCCGCGCAGCCTCTACGTACTGGACCCGCGGCTTCGCGCACGCCGAGTATTTTAGTCGACAATCGAAAGTGACGAGAGAGTAAATATTATCTTTCTGTCGCGCTGGCCGTCACGCGATGTTTTGTAACTCAATATTTCCGAGTACCCATCTTTAAAAAGGAGCCTCGGCGTGACGTAACTTGGAGTTGATGCCGATAACGTATCGCCACATTTTTCCAACAATCGGACATTTTTCTTTGTACTTTCAAACGTCCCTCCCAGGCGTCCCCCGCGTCGCCGAATAAATTTTCCAGGATTACGGTCGCGCCCGATACATTATTCACAATCGTAACTTTGTACGCGTAATGACGCGGCTCTTTAATTCACCTCTCTCTTTTTTTTCCCCCCCGGCGTAATTTTGTCGAACTCACGAATATCTTCTTCGCGACGACGAACGAACAAAACGCATTATACCGCGGCAGATAAACAACTTTCGCAACGATAGAGTTGTCTCACCTGCGCGGATCGAGTGTTATTTATCTCATACATAAAACATCGGCTAACCCTGAGAGCGCGGCTCCGCTCCAAGAGAGACGCAGGCGAGATCGCGTCTCGCGCGCGCGCGCGCGCGCGGGCGCGGACGGAAAGCGGGGCGTTTCCTCAAAGCCTCGTGGAACTCGGGAGAATTCGCGGTATCCCGCGAGGGGGATATAAATATTCTCCACGCGGATGTGTCCAGCGCGGAATATTCTCGTGGGGCCCGCGCCGATCTGAGGGCCGCGCGCGGCGGGACGGACAAAGGCGCGCGGGCGCGACGACGACGCGGCACTCGGGGATCGCACTACTCGCGCGACGCGTCGCAAAAGGAGGACCGTCAACCTCCTCGTCCGGTTCGCGCACGAGAAATCGTCGACGACACTGTTTTCTCTCGCGCGCGGTCGCGCGAGAGAGAGTCCCTCCGGGCGACAACTCGCCCGTCGCGGTGCCAGCGGCCGCGCAGAGAGGGAGAGGAAAAAAAATAGACGGACGGACGAGACGTCGCGCGAGCGGAGGCGGGAGACGCGAAGCGACAGCGTCACCGACGTCGCGACGCCGAAGATCGTCCGACAGGCGCTTCGCGGAGTCGGAGACGGAGACGGCGACGGCGACGAGAGCGCACTGTCAGAGGCGAGCGGCAGGCGTGCACTCGTGACCGAGAATCGCAGCAGCCAGCCACTTGCGACACTCTCGTGTACACACACCGCAGGTTTTGGCGAGCGCGATCGGCTCTCGCGGCACGCCGTCGCCGCCGCCGCCGCCGCCGCCGCCGTCCGATCGACGCCGATCGTTCAAGGCCACCACGTACGACCTTAACCCTCACGCTAATTACGAGGAATTACATTTCATCTCGCGGCACGCACGCACGCACGCCGATCGCGAGTTCCTTCCGCGCTTTCGTACGCTCTTCGGCGCGACACTTCGCGCCTGGGACCACCGTAGGGCAGCGTGGGTGGGCCGGGGAGAGTTTAGGGACGAGACGCTCCCCCTTTGCGCCTGTCAAATTACATAATTTGACGCGGAGAACGTCAAACTTGAAAATAAATACAAGCAGAGATTTCTCCAGTTTTATATTAAAAATGCAGACTTGTTTTTACGTCCTTCACTTAGAAATGCAAGGACTAAAAGATGCGATCGTTTAAGGTGGCTCCTGCATAAACCGACCAAAGGTAGAAAAAATTGAAATTTAAATATGTTGCAGTTGTAGATTTTGTCTATCGGTACGCGAAATTTCAGATCCGGTCGCCGATGAAGTAAAATAAAGAAAAAAATGTTAAAGAGTTGTATTATTTCAACATTCCAGTAAACACCAAGTAACAGTTACATAACATCAATATTATAATCGCTCAAAATTCCTACCCTCAACAAGATAAATGTGATTTAACACCCATGTTATGTTACATTTACATTGTTAAGTAGGAAATTATAATATTGATGTTATGTAACTGCACAGAGAGAAAAAATAGTCATTTTTGGACCCAACCATATTTTTTATAATTCCTCCAACGTAAGTTATGGTTGACCTAACAATGCTATAGTTCTCATAACCACAATATTGGCCCATGCAACTTATAATATGGTTGTCATAAACCAAAACGAGCTTTTAATTTAGTAATATACAATAATTGTATTGTAAAATATTGTAAAAAAAACGAAATTGGAAGAATTATAAAAATATGGTTGGGTCCAAAAATTACTATTTTTTTCTCTCTGTGTGTTATTAGAGAGAGAGAGAGAGAGAGAGAGAGAGAGAGAGAGAGAGAGAGAGAGAGAGAGAGAGGTGTTCACTGGAATAGAGGTTATGGGCCGATCGCTCGCAGAAGCACCTCGAGGGTTAATATTATTTTATGGAAAAAGTAGATCTTAACAAAAAAAAAAAACCGAGATGAACATAATAAATGTCACCAGGATTCGAATGTGCTATTAAGTATATGAGGTCACCGACCTCTGCAAGCAAACACTTATTAGTAAAGTCAAAAGATACAATGTTTTGAGGAAATTTGACAGCTCTTTGAGACTTGACAGTATCATATATTTTTAAATATGTTTTTAAATGTGCATATATAACCCAGCATATCAATGCGTTCGATCAATAATGCATTGGGTGATATTTTTTTATGAAAAAAGTCATATGGATTTATAAAAATCAAAGGGGGCCCCGCCGAAGCACCCACACTAGCCGCTCCTTCGTGTGGGAGCCACCTTAAGCTTGTTTTTACTTTGTTTAAAATTCATTAGCCTCCCTTTTAAGCGGACCTTCCAAATTCGTTGGGATATTCGTCGATAATAATTGTCGATGAGAAAGGTTGACACGCGTCTTTACCCGTGCGATGTATCGTTACACGGTATTAACAGAAATACATACATGTCAATAGAACAATTATGAACGCGGCCGGGGTCTTTTGTCCAGCAGCCGGGCGCTCGCTTCCCTGTCATACTTCATTTCCTAACAATGATGAAGCGGCTTTAGGCGCCGCGTGACGAAACGACAAAGCCCGGCTACTATTTCTGAATACCTGTGGGAGGTGCAACGTATGCACGCGTCCTGCATGCGAAAACCGCGCAGGAACCGCCGGCTTGTCGCAGTCACATGCGATTATTAACGCGTGACAAAGGTGACGCGCGTGTCCGTCACGTATTTTGTCAACGAGACACCCAATTGTTATTGAACGCAATTCGAGTCCCTCCCGTTTCCCGCGGTGGGATTGTACAACGTAACAAACTTGTAGACGTTATCTTTAAGCAGCAATTTTCCGAATTTCCTGGAGCCTTACGAAACGACATGTCGCGGGAGATAGAAATATATACTCTCTAAAAGTCAATCAGTGGATTATCACTGAAAATAGTGAATAGTCACTGATTTGCAGCTATAAGTATACTACTAAAAATTGCAGTGGTATACTTATAGCTGTAGATCAGTGACTATTCGCTGTTTTCAGTGATAATTCACCGATTGATTTTTAGAGAGTACGACGAGGGGGAAACCGCTGATAATATAAAAAATTATTAAGTATCCAGTTTGTATAAATATCCATTTTAGTTGGCGCAATTTGATGATATCATTACTTTTGTAGAGGCAATAAAAGTGTTTTTTTTTCGAACAACATATACCCAAATAATTAAATTATATAATTCCTGATTGGATGGCGCTTATACTTGGCGTCTTTTTTACTTTTTTTTAAAAAGGTTGTTTTTTAAGATTAGAAATGTACGACGAGGGGGAAACCGCTGACCAAAATTTTATAAACCAACGCCCACTAATGTCCAGTTTTGTTGTTTTCTTCCGCTTGTTATCGGTCGTCATAATTAATGCACTTGGCAATTCAGCTGCGTAGGAAGAAGTTAGTTTTGCGTTTCACAATTTTTAATTACAACTTTCTCAAATATTAAAATGTCGAAGGTGTGTGCGGTCGGAACTGTCTCAATCAAGCTCGGTCCAGAAAAAAAGATAAACTAATAAACAATTCTGCGGTCGTTCCCTTTTATTAACAGTGTCCTCTCAAACGCTGAAAACTTGACGTAAAAAGAGACGAGCGTTGAAAACATTTCGTTGTAAATAACGCGTTGTTTCGCAGAGATTAACGCGCTAATGGAGATTACCGTCCGATATCTGGATATCGCGGCGTTAGCGTATACGAATTCTTCTCAGTTAATCGGACGGAATATTTACAACATCGCTCTATCATTTCCTGGACATCCCGGCAATTTTCCGTAAATCGATTACCGCGATTCTTCGACATCGCGCCACGGCCTATCCGCAATTTGTCATCGCGTTACGGTGACGTGCGCTTAAACCCGCCCCATTATTGCACGTCAATCTAAACGAATAACCGTGTAAGCGGCCATTATATATCGCGGCACGGAAGTCGATCGCGGTTTCACGGAAAGCATAACTTTTCGTCTCGATCTCTGACGCTACAGTTATTCCGGCCGTGGCCTATTTTCAGAAACGATCGTGGAATTCCAAGGTGAAAATATGCTGTTACACGACTGCCGCCTCACGGATCATCGCCCTTTCGCAGCCCTTAAGTGTATATGTATGTCGACTCCCACGCTTTCTCTTACGTGTTCCGTGCAATTATTCTCGGGCGTTTATTCAATCTTTAATCGCCATATCGGGAAGATCGCTTAAACCTCTTGGTTGAATGTAATTCGAGTCGTAATGGATAAAATCTCTGCCCATTCGAATATCTTTCCATGACTTTTTAATAATTTTTTTTATGTGAATTTGCCGACGAATTTATATAAACGATACTGTGTTATGGCCGACAAGAAACAAGAATTCCCATACCGTTTTCCACCTGTCTTGCGCGCCGATTTCTTGAAATTTTACCAGTAAAACGTATGGTAAAATTTGGTAAAAAAAAGCCAACGATTACATGATTTTCAGGATAAATTTTAAGAGAAAATTCTCTTCGTGTACTTAAAAAATTACTGGGCTACCTACTCGGATCTCACTGGCGTTCTCGTTTCCTATTAAATTTTTTATATTTAGTATCTATAATATAGTACAAATATCGTGTCTGACGTCAATCCACTTGTTTTTCGGGACTAATAATAAATAAACAAGCCTCAGTGGTCGAATTGGTGAGACGCCCGCCCAGAGAGTAGGGAAGTCCTAGTTCAAACCCTGGCCGCGGTAATTTTCGCAATAAATTTTCGGCATTAAAACATTGGCCGGTTAATGTCGACTAAAAAGCTTGTTATTAATAAATTAATTTTTTCGCGCGACTACTTTTTTATCGAAATTCGAAAAAGAAAGTGCCTGGGCACGTGACGTCTTGAAATTGTCTGCCTCTTGAACATGGCCCCAAAATTTTATGCTATTTCGAACACAACCCTGCAATTCCTCTTTTCTGCCTGTCTCGATTTTCACGCTACAAAATCCCCCTACTTTCGTAAAAGGCTAATTTCGCGCACCTGAACCTCTCGGTAGCCGTCGAAAAAGCTGTCGACGCGACACGGAGTTGCCATGGAATGCACCATCAGTATTGACTATTATTAGCGCGCTTTCTATTTGCACGTCGCTCGAAATAAAGAGAAAGAGGAAAAGAGAGAAAGAGGGAGAGAGAGAGAGAGAGGGACGTCGATCTCGACCGCATGGCTGGTTTTATCGGGTAGGCGGGACAACCGACGAGATTTTTGTGTGATCTCATTAACGAGAGCGTTGCACACGCCGCAGGAAAGACTCCACAGTCCCCCGAAAATAAGCACGGCGCGACGGGAAGTCACATGCTCTCGCCACGTCCGAAATTCCGATCGGTCCTCTCTCTTTCTCTCGATACGACGCGGTATCTCGAAAGGCAAATGTTATCACGATGTCTATCAGATTTCGGTTAAAATATCCAGCCACAAATAATCCCCGAGTTAAAATTGGTTAGATGACGACGGCCGTTGATGTCATTAAAGAGATATCTTGGTACTGAACGCGAAGAAAATGGAAGAAGCGTTAAATCATGTACTCGCAGTTACCTTTGCTAAGATTTACATTATCAGAGGAAAGTCCCCGATTATGAGATAGGCTTCTTATATGAGACAGCAGCATCTCTTCATCTGGCTCTTCTCAGCATCCAGATTCAGTAACAAATCTCTTTTCGCAACTATT